GCAACCTTAAATAAACTTTTTCTTTATGATTTATTGGCATTTTTTGTCTGAATATCTGCTTAATAAATGGAAAAAGCTCATATAAAGTTGAGGCTCTAAACATTCAAAAATAGATTAGAAAAAGTTGTTTTTGATGTACTTGTCTTCCAACTTCTGAATACTCATTTCTACTGGATTTTTGAGGTGCACCTTACTTTTATAATATAAAGTTGCAACCTTAAATAAACTTTTTCTTTATGATTTATCGGTATTTTTTGTCTGAATATCTTATTAATAAATTGAAAAAGCTCATATAAGGTTGAGGCCCTAAACAATAAAAGGCTCACCTCAAAATATACTAGTCAATGCCGAAAAACCCTCAAATCCAATCATCTCAACCTTGAGATACATGGATGTGGAAAAAAATAAGCTTCAAGTCTTGAAAATAGTGCATCTTGTAATGTATTATCTAGATCATCAATTTTCAAGATTTTGTTGGCCAAATTTTTATTCTGTTAGCCAAATTTTTATGGGTGCGGTTTGTATAGAGCCGAGGCTCTAAACAATCAAAATAAAGCACACCTTTAAATAGTGTCGAGAAATGTGGTTTCAATATTGGAAATCTTTGTAATAGCTTTAAAATATATTTTTTTCTTAAATTATAAAATTTAAAGCTTCAAAAATAGTGTAGATCGAGCAGATCTATGAAAACTTGAAAATTCGTGGTCCAAAACTGCATTACAAGATGCATTATTTCCAAAACTTGAAATCCATTTTTTTCTCATATCCATGCATCATGATGTCAATATCATCAATTTGAAAATATTTGAGCACCAAAACCACCTCTTCTAGTGGAATTTTTGAGATGGGCTCTAATTTGATTGTTTAGAGCCTCGGCTCTATTTAAACTTTTTCCAATTTTTATTCTGTTAGACATATAGTCCATAGAATAAAATGTGTGCAACAGCTTTATTTGAACTTTTAGGAAACGTGCTTGGGTCAAGACGGTAGAGGCTAGGTTCTCATAGCCCAACGCCCAAGGTTTCAAAAAACGTTGGGCGGCCCCTAGGCGGTCTGCCTGGCGCCCAGCACTTAGGCGGGCACCTAAGCGGGTGCCCAGAACCTTGGGTGCCCTACGGTGCAAATTCTTAGTTTTTTTTTTACATATATTTGTTATCCAAACGCACATATATGCATATATTTGTGTCAAAATTTGTAATTTATTCCAAAATGTGAACCATACAAAACATTTAAAAGTCTAATAGGCTACTGTAAGGTCTCCAACTCTCAAATTCAGAAATTCTCCATATTGGCATATTCCATATCCATAAAATAAACCATAATAACATCCAAGTCTCCAAGTGATCAACAAATTGACTTCCAAAACTATAGAAAAACCGGTAAACCATATAACGAAATAGTCCAAAAAGGCAAAAAAATTACAAACCACACAACGAAATAGTCCAAAAAGGTAAAAAAATTACAAACCACATAACTAAATAAAAATCGTTCAAACTCCAAATGTCTAAAGCCCAAACCAAGATGGTGAAATAAAGTATTAAAGTTACTTCAAAAGAAGAGAGAAGACAATCAAGACATCAATAAGAATCAGATTCATCATCTTCATTGCTTTCATCAGCATCAGAATTGAGGCCGCCATCATCAGAATCGTCACCCTCTTCGATATATTCCTCTTCTTCCAGATATTCTTCTGAATTTGCATCCTCTTCCTCTATCTCCCTCTGTGAAGTACGAGCAAAAGAAGTTGCTCGAGTGGCCCTTTGAGGATCAGAAGCTTGCCCTGAAGCCTCCGCAACCATTTCCCATGTCAAACCCTCCCCAGTGAAGACCTCCTAAGTACCAGGGTCACTAACTAGCTAATCTAAAGCATTCTCCATGTCTTTCGAAGAGATAGGGTCCTTCTTTGGCTGGTTTTTCTTCTCCTTGAGCCTTTGATTCTCTCTAACAAAAACTAAGTCATTGAGCTTCATTTGCTCAAGCCTATTTCTTCTCTTTGTATGCACCTATAAGGAAAAATAATGCAGAAGTAACTACTATAGGTTTATGATCTTCTGACCTTTTATGAATCTATATTACAAAATGAATATGAACTTATAAACAAAAAAAGCATACAAAATTTTATTCCTTTAAAATAGTAAAATAGTAAAATATCATTTCAAGCGAACTCTAATTGCGCTCACAATCAGACGATGTAGTTGTCAAACTCAAGATCCGCATAGCCATCTTTTGGAGGTTTGGTGCGCTTCTCCCATGTTGTCTCCACCATTGGGTTACAATATGTGGGCAACGTTTATAATTAATTTACGTTTTTAACATTATCAGAACTTGAAAGAAAATTATAAATTTATATTTTATAAAACAAAAGTACATAAGGCAAAAGAATATTACCTGGTTCGTCTTTGTTTCTCTGCCTTAATGTCATATCTTTCCTAAATGACACTAAAGAACACTTGTACAAAATTAGCTCTTCAATTGATATCTTATCTTGGATATTTGGATCATGAACTAATTTCTCAAGGTACTCATTAAAGCCATCAATAATTACCCCTTTTGACTCAATATCTATATCTGCATAAAAGAATTTGGGGTTCAAGTAGTACCCCGCGGTATGCAATGTCTATGGAGCTGCCTATCCCATTTATCATCTATAATTTCCTAAATTGGGGCATACTTCGCTGCATCATCTCCCAAATTCTCTGCAATCTCATTCTTAGTCCTTTCCATTGCATCATATATAAAGCCCATGGAGGGCTTATCAGCATCAACCAAGCACAAGAAGTTGACCAAGGAAAGAAATACTAATATCTCATGCTTCACCCCACGCCAAAAATATTTCAAAAGAATAATATCTCATGTCTTCTTTGCCTTGGCATCTCTAGACCACTTACACCTACTCCACTCCTCTGAAGCAAACATAGACTTTAATGCGATCATCCTCTTATACATGTTCTGTAAACTAAGGTAGGCAATGGCAAATCTAGTGACCCTAGGCCTCACTGGCTCTCTCTTTTTTGTAAACTTGCGCATCATGCTAAGGGTAAGTATGTGACTGTATATAAAGATTGTAACCTCCTTAGCCTTAAAAATAATTCCTTTAATAGGAGGCAATTCACCAATTGCCTCAAGCATAAAATCTACGCAATGTGCAGTGCAAGGAGTCCAAAATATGCGAGGCCTCTTTTGTCGAAGCAAATGACCAGCAACTAGATTGGGAGCAGCATTATCTGTGACCATTTGAATTACCTGTTCCTCCCCAACTTCCTCAATTATTAATGAAAGAAAATATATAATGCACATCATGAACATCATTGGAAGCATCGATTGAGCATAAAGAAATATACCCATGGGACAATTTACTAATAAATTCATGTTATTCCTCCTCCTTTTATCACTCTACATATCCGTTATCAAAGAAACCCCAAATTTAGTCCATCCATCCTTATGAGTCTTGAGATATTCATTAGTGTACTCGACTTCTTTCTTCAGTAGTGGCTCTCCAATCTCATAAGGAGTTGGAGCTTTCAAACTTGGTCCAAATTACCCAATTGCTTCCAACATTGTATGGAAGCTATTCAAACTAACAGTATTAAAAGAAAAATGCCCGCATGGTAAAACCACTGAGCAATATATTGAATCACCCTGGCTTTATCTTCCTTTTTAAACCTATTTTCAATTGTCACCTGTTGTTTCTCCTTTCCCTTGCCTTTTTCAATTACTGTATCAAGGCTAGGTGTAAAGAAACTATCTATAGGCCCTCTCATACGGCCTTCTTAGACCCAAAAGCCCTCTGGTCTTAGAGCTCTGAGTACCAACCATGGCTACCTCTTCTTCTCCCTCTTCATCATCCTCTTTTTCAGTTTCAATAATATCATAAAAAATATGAACCACTGACTTTAATTCTATTATATCCTTTTTTTTTGCAACTGTTTTACTCTTTTAAGCTCCAATGTGCTCCAAATTTCTTTCTTTACAAGATCTGGGACTTCCTTACATGCGGCGACATCACTTCTAATACCGGCAAGATGTTTCTTAAATCTATTTATACTGACATTAGAAACATATCCACATAAATTGCACATAATTTTATTTTTGTCATTCTTATCCGTGTTAACAAAATATTTCCTTCCTTGATCTCCACCCCTAGTAGACCCCACAGAAGACAGACTGACCTTTTCTACCCAATCTCTGATCTTCAATGTTGACTATCTCAGTCGAGCTACAAATCGACTTAAAAATCTTCTAATACCACCAATAACACCCTAAAAATAATTTCAGTAAGCAAAACAAACTTTTTCAATTCACAAGAAGTATTTTCGATTCTCAGCAATTGTTTTAGATTCTCATAAATAAGTTTAAGATTGAGGGATTCTCGTTTTTTTTTTTCAGTTTGGGGCTAAAAAATAAACCCTTAAACTTATTTTGCACAAACTTTGAGGTCAAAATGACCCCTTCGACCTTTTGGGGAAGTTAAAAAAAAAAAAAATCGTAAACTATGCTAGGCACCCGCCCAGGGACAACCGCCTGTGTTGGGGCACCCAGGATCGGGTGCGGAAATTTTTTTTTGGGCGCCCAGGCGGGTGCCTAGGCGTTGGGCGGTTCGTTTTTTTAAACATTGCTAATGCTTCAAGCTGCATTCCTATGTAACCTTGTCAAAAAAAAAAAAAAACTTCATACAAATTTTTGAAATTTTGATTATTAAATTCAGTTTTGTAAAACATACCCGGCATGTTTTCTCTTTGAGCTACGTAACTTGTCAAAAAGTCAAACATAATATTTTTTTTTTTTACGTATGTAACTTTTTATAAATTTTTTAAAATTTAATTATTAAATTCAGTTTTGTCAAACATACCCTTAGAGCGAGTTTGCTAACAGGAAATGTCTTCTATGAACTTGGAAACTTTCTATTTACGTTTCATGTTTGGCGTTTGATAAAAAAATGAAAGTTGAATGAAGAACTTCACTTTACTTTACTGTTCAAGTTCCCTCTCTTGTTGACTTTGTGTTAAAAAAAGTTCCGACCTTTTGGTCGGAACGTGAAGTGGGAAGTTTTTATAAAACTTCACCCACGAAAGTTTGCCCTGAGCCTCTCTTCGCAGCAGGCCGCCATCAACCAGAGCCCTCTCGCTGAGCCATCCCTCTCCTCTGTTGTTCGCTGCACTCAGCCTCCTCTTCTTCCGTCCTCGTTACCCTTCCAGCATCCCTCTTCACAGAGCCTCCTCACTTGCTTCTCCTCTCTTTCTCTCTCTTTCCATTTCTAGAAAATGGCTTTCTTTCTCATCTCTCTCTGCAGAACTACTTCATTCTCTCTCCATCTAGCTGTGTAGCCCTAAATCTCTTTCTCTATCTATCACCAACCTCCCATCCGTCATTGACATCAGAGCTCCAGGTATGGTTCTTTTTTTATTTTTTATTTTTTTTCTGTAAACCTATTTCTCTTGCTAGGGTTTTGTTGGTTCTTGAATCTCTGTATTTTTTCCCCTGATTTTCAAGATATGTTTATTAATGGATGTATTTTTTGCCAATTTATGTGATTTTGGGCTGGTTTTGGAGATGTCATGAGAGTTGTGGCATTTTAGTTAATATTTTTTTGGGGATTTTTTGTTATTATAGCTTTATAAGTATCTTTATGACATTCTTCTTGGAGATTTATTTTCTGATGATTTGTGATATCTGTGATGTCTTCCTCATTGAAGAACACAGTATTGTGTTGGATTAATCTGTGTGCTCAGTAATTTATTGCTCTATTCTTGTGGAGTGAAGAGTGGGGTTGCATGATCTCAATATAGTTATTGCAAGAGAGGTATTTGGATTTGCTTGGTTTTAACACTTCAATTTGACCTAAAATGCTGATATTTGCAACTAAACGATAAAACTTCGCATGTATCACATAACTATGTTTCTGTGATTATAGCTACCCAATTCATAAATCTCTTGTTAAAGGGTGTAAATGCTGATTTTAGAATGTGAAATAGCATTCATCTTTTGAACTCTGCGGCATGAAATGTAATTTTATATAATTATGATTAATAGTAAAACAAAATAGTAATTATATGGGAGTAATTATATAATGATTATATAATTTTTAATGGGTAGCATTTTACGCAGCAGTGACCTCTAACCTTTTTTGATAAGCTAATGGACTCTCCATAGCACTGACTGTTGTGCCACTGAATGGATTTTAAAATATCACTTTTGATAGTCTGGGACTCGAAGTATTTCGTATAAAAGTGTGACTCAAACCAATAAAACTTGGCTTGATGATTTTGGCTTAGCATCAGAAATGATGCCCCCAAATCTTGCTGGTCTAGGGCTCCTTGGAGCTTCCATCAAATTGATCTTTAGCACACTTTAGGGAAGGGGAATCCTATTAACTATTCATTTGAGCTCTTGGGGATTCTGTTTTTCCTGTTTTTGTTCATTGTAAGAAACATGATCTCTTCAGTTTTCCGCTAAATATTCTGTTGCATCAATCCTAGTGATACATGGCCATATCAAGTAGGAGTTAGGGGCTTCTTGATTTGTAGAACAAAGTGTATTGTGTTCTATGGTTGATCTTGCTATTCACAAAAACCAATGATTTGGCAATCATATGCCCATGTATTAAGCCATATCCCTCATAATCTAGAATAATGTCTTGTATGACTAAAGGGAAAAAAAGAATTGAAAAAAGATGGTAACTTAGTGCTTGGACTGCTTTTTTGGGGTTATCATTCCTCTAATCAATATGATGTTATTTTCTTTTGTATTACTTTTAAGGTTTGTCATGTCATTAAATGATCAAATATGTAAGAGTTTTTTCCATATGACATCCACCTCTCTATCTATCTACATGAAAAAAGTCCATTTATCTTTGTTCTTTGATTGTTATTTTACAGCAGCATATGCACATGGTTTCTCATTGTTGCTCAAGGTGTAGGTTAGATGAAGGTAATAATTTGGAATATTATCTTCTATACTATCGTCTTTTTTGAGGGCCTCTATTTTGTTTTGTGGCAAACCCTTGATGCTAAATAAGATGGATTGCTTGCATTCTAGCAGTAATTTGGTTCATGGTCTTAGGTTGTCTTTTATTTTCGTGTTGAAATTAGTACTAGAAGGTCTTACATCTGGCATGTGTTGTTGACATGTAGTTAAACTTGGACGAGTTCATGTTTAGCATTAACCTACAAGGTCCTTATATTTTTTTTTATGAATGAAATGGTACCCCTAAAAAGTGTCTATGACTTAATTGGGTGATTTGAAATTGATGGTAAAATAAACAATTGAAGCATATCAGTTGCCCTTTTTCTATTCTTTATTTTCTAAAGTGTACTGAAAATCTTCGTCCACAATTTTCTCTCCTAAGGTTATGGATTTTGTTTTGTTGGAACTCTTTGAGACAAGTTTTGTATTGATCCTTGAGACATTTTGTCTTTCGCTCTTTCAATATGCGCAAGACTTTTGAATATGCACAAGGCTTTTGATAATTGCATAGTTCCTACTTATATTTATCGATTTCTAGATGCTCTTTCATGTGCATTGTGATTTACCACTCTCTTTGTATGATACTTTCTTGTAGTATTTTAAATCTAAATGAAGCATCATACTCACAGGTTCTGCAAAACCAACATTCTCCAGTCAAGATGCAGTGACAGCAAACGAATTGATAAAAGAGCTTATTGATTGGAAAATTATTCATGATGAAAATGGAATGTAAGAACTTGGACCACTTTGAATTTGGTTGTTAGATACTTTTCACTTTGTTTTATTTTCTAACTTTGTACTTATTATTATTATTTTTGAGTATATAATCTTGTAAGTCCTTTCCTTATATCAAATTATCAGCACACAGAACTCCATTTTTATCTCACTTGTCTCACAATATTATTGACATGTTATTATTAGAGTTATTCCATGACCTGTTCTTGATTTTGATGTACCAGTTACATCACATTTCCTTTTTACTTGTATTTATCAACAAGGCTTTAAAACTTCCAAAGACTTGATCTTTTACCTCTGATTAGTGACTCAGCTTGGCTTGGTAGGTTCCTGAGCTGAGTCATACAGGATCGATTTGGTTGAATCTATTGATTAACCAATAAAAAGAGGCTTGACTCAGTTGAGTCTTGTGATATTACAGGGCACTTGCCAAGGTATTGAGGCAATTCACAAGTACTTATTCAAATTTCATATTTGAATAAGATAGCAGATTTTCACTGGTGAATGTAAGTAGTGGTGAAGTTATTACAGGTTATTGTTGAAGGGGCCGATTTCTTACTACTTGCATTTTGAATTATGTATGTTTAAACTATTACAGGTTATTGTTGAATGGGCTGGTTTTGTACATGGTTATATATGGATGCATGAATTGTGAGTGTTGCTTGACGTGCATCACAGTTAATAGATAACATATAAATGTTGTGTGCCATTATAATATGAGAGAGAGAGAGAGATAAGAGAGAGAGAGAGAGAGAGAGAGAGAGAGAGAGAGAGAGAGAGAGAGAGAGA